TGATGATTTGTTGTTGTACTGCTATATAGATTCCATATATCTTTCTATAATAATTTTCATTACTAACCCTTTCTACTTGGAAATGTTTCTTCTATACGTGGATAATTTGTAGGTGATCAGGAATAATTCATCGAGGCTTAGAGGATAGCTTCAGAATGTGTTGTTTATTTCTGTTGATTTTAAAAGGTCTTGCATTGATATGAAACATCAAGGTCTTTGAGATTGTTTAAACTGAACTATATATCCCTTGTTGACATGATGTGTTGAGATGATTTATTTTGTTTTAAGATGTTTTGAAGTTTAACTTGTGAATTATGAAGTGTAATAGTGTTTTATTTAAAGTATTTAATAAAAATGTTTTGAGACGACAATTCCATTGCGATATGTTGAAGTTTCATGATGATAGTTTCAAAGAGATAAATGTTTTAATTTTTGAAAACCCATGTTACGGAGTATGATATATATGTATGGTGTTTTATATGAAGATGTGACACCCTTTTTGGTGCATTACTCTGATTTAATTATTCATAATATTTGTGTGGTTTAGAAGGGTGTTACAAGATACATAAACATGTATCTTGTTGTACTTCTTCTATCAACTATGTCCCCACACCATTCAAAGTCTTAGTAGCATATCAGCTCAGTAACCTTTGACATTCCAGATGGAAACATAATACCATACTTCAAAGTCCCCTTTATATACCCGAGTATCTTGACTGTAGTTTGATAATATGACCACTTTGATTTACCCATAAACATACTCACCATTTAAACTCCATAGATATGTCACTTCTGGTATTGGACAAATATCTCAATAAGCCAACCAATTATTTGAAGTTTGTAACATCTACTTCCTCACCATCTGGATCAAAGTCCAGTTTATGTTTTGTTTCTACAGATGTGACAGCGGATTTACTATTCATCAGATCAAACCTCTTTAGTAACTCTAGTTCATACTTCAGCTAATGCATAATGATTCCCTTTTCAGAGCATATAATCTTCATCCCTAGAAAATATAACATGTTTCTAAGGTCAGTCATATCAAATGCATTCATCAACACCTTCTTGAACTTATTTACCTTAACAATACAACTTCTAGTTAGCAATATGTCATCAACATAGAGACACACCAGAGTCACATTGCTATCAGAGGTATTATGCACATACAAACCATACTCCATTTCATATTTTCTGAATCCCTGATTCATGAAAAATTAATCAATTTCCAAATTCCAAGCTCTTGGGGTTTTCTTAAGTCCATACAAATCTTTATGCTACTTATATCCCATCTGTTCTTTATTCTCTATCATAAATCCATGAGGTTATAACACATAGACTTCCTATTGTAAAGGACCATTCAGAAAGATTGATTTCACATCTAAATGCAGAAAAAGGTCAATTCCTATTTGCAGCTATAGAAATCACAAGTCTGGTCGTTTCATGTCTAGCTATAGGAGAAAACACTTCAATGTAGTCTAAACAATATTTATGCAGAAATCCTCTAGAAACTAACCTCGCTTTGTGCTTTGCAATTTACCCATCTGGCTTCAACTTTATCTTGAAAACCAATATAACATTGATGGCTTTCTTGTTATTTGGTAGGAAACTCAATTACCATGTCTTGTTTCTTTCAATTACCTCAAGTTCTTACTTCATGGCATTTATCCACACCTTCTTCTTGAGATATTCATTGATACTTCCAGGTTTAAGTACACCATCATGACACACTGAATAACTTCTGATTCAAAGTCAATTTTAGTATCTTGAAACAACTCAAAGTATGTAAGTCTCATTGGGATCTAAAGAATTCTCTATGGTATAGTTTCAGAGGCAACACCGCCTTTAGATTCTGAACCACATTCAGAGGCTGGATTACCACCAGCCTGTGGATTTCCATCAGAGTCTAGATCAGAGTCAGATTCTCCTTCAGACTTTGAATCATCTTTAGAGTCAGACTCACCTTCAGATTCATAGTCATCTTCAGAGGTAGAATATCTTTTAGAGGTAGGTTCTCCTTCAGAATCAAAATATCCTTCAGAGTCATCATTAGAGACATCTTTACAAACACCTTCAACTCTAGAGGCAGGATCATACTTGTTCCAATCCCCATGTTTATGATTCTTTCACTATGACATCTTTGTTGACTTCAACTTTATTGGTGACTGGGCAATAAAGCTTATAAACACATGTAATATGGTAATCTACAAGCAACATAACTATGTTTCTATCATCCAACTTTCTTCTCTTAGCATCTTGAACATGTTTGTAACAAACATAACCAAACACATTCAGATGAATCACACTTTTCTTTCTTCAAGTCCGTTTCTCCAGAGGAACTATTTCCTTTAACTTCTTAGTTGGATATCTATTGAGCACATATGTTGAAGTACCAACAACTTCACCCTAGAATGTGTAAGACAAATTATTTTCTTTTAGCATGCTCCTTGTCATGTCAAGCAAAGTTATGTTTATTCTTTAAATAAGACCACTATGTTATAGAGTATAGGGAGCAGTCACCTCATGCTCAATACCATTCACCTCACATAACTTCTTGAACTCTCCAGAGTTGAACTCACCTCCACCATTAGTTATGAGGATCTTCAATCTTTGTGCACTTTGATTTTCAACCTTCACTCTAAGCTTCTTAAACTCAACAAACACCTCGTGTTTGAACTTTATGAGTACTACCCATGTCATTCTGGTGAACTCATCCATAAATGACACAAAGTAATTTTCCCTCTCAGTGAAGGTACTTCAAATTGACCATATAAATCAGAATGCACAACACCCAAAGAATGAGTTTCTCTTGGAGGCAATTCTGATGAGAAAGGAAATCTTGGTTTCTTGCCTTTCATGCATATGTCACATGATTTCTCTGGTGCCACGGTGTTAGGAATTTCAAGTACCAGATTATTTGAATTCAGATTCCCTAAGCCTCTGAAGTTCAAATGTCTCAATCTCTTGTGCAACAGCTCACTCTCCATTACAACACTTGTTGCACTATGGCAATGAGTGTCTTCTGTTTCAACATTCATAATGTACTGTTTCTTCCCAGTTCAGACTGCATTATCAGCTTCTGATTACAATCATACAACTTCAAGATATTGTCCTTCATGGTTACTGAAAAACCTTTTTTGATCAGCTGATCAAGACTCTTCAGATTGCTCTTCATCTCAGGAACATACCATACATCCTTAATCAGAGAAACTTTGCCATTCTGAAACTTCACTATGATATTTCTCATTCCTTCAACATCCAGATACTTATCATCAACACATATAATCTTGGTCTTTCTACCGGAGTCAAAATCAACAAGTCATTGCTTGTTTCCAATTTGGTAATTTGAGCATGCAGTGTCCACATACCACCAATCTACCATTTTTTCACCTTTATTCTCATATGCCATCAATAGTATGATTTCATCCTCTGAATATCCTATCTATATTGACTTCTTCACACTTGGTTTATTTATTTGACCAATAGTCAGAGGCATATTGGCCAAATCTGTTACAGTTGTAGCACTTAACCTTTCTCTTATTAAACTTCTCCTCACCCTTCTAAACATTCTTCTGTTTCTTCTCTTCTAAAGAAGAAGGTTCTGACTTATGAACATTCTTTTTCTTGTTCTCTAGCCATGCTTGCTTCTTGTTCGTCTTAACAAAAGAAGCCTTCAGAGCCTATTCAGACTCCCTTTCAGATTTCTTTGAGTCGGGTGTAACTCTTGTGCCTCTAAACTATTCTGAAGTTCTTCAATTCTCATAGTGGTAGTGTCTTTAGAATGTTCTATGATTACAACTAAGTAATCAAACTGAGAAGTATGGGATCTGAGCATCTTCTCAATGATAACTTGTTCAGAGAGAGTTTATCCACAAGTCTTCATCTCATTCGTGATCAGAGTCACTTTGGAGATGTGATATGGTACCTTCTCATTATTCTTCATGATGAGATTATGATATTGCTTTTGTAAGGACTGCAACTCCACCTTCTTCAGTGGGGCGTCGTCGCCAAAACACCACAACAGTGTATCCCATGTCGCCTTCGTCGTCGTAACATCAACAATCTTCTCAAACACACTCTTATCCACACAGTGATGGATATATAACAATGCCTTCTGATCCTTCTTCCTCATTTCATGTTGCGCGTTTCTTTGCGCTTCTGTTGCATCTGCTGCAACCATCGTGTAACCGTCATTGACGAGATCAAGAATATCTTGAGCGTCAAACAACACACACATCTGAATGGGCCACCGATTCCAATTCTTTCCGTCGAATAATGGAAGTTTTGTATTCAAATCACTGTTTCCGCCGTTCATCTTCGATCTTGTGCAAATCACAAAATTTCATAAAACACTCGTGTTTCTCAACCCTAGGAAATAAGAAATGTGATTCTTCTCCTATTTCGATCTCAATTCAGTGTGAATTTGAGAAACAAAATCAATCACACACCTCACGTGCACTCGTGTTTTCTTAAACCAGAATTAGAACTCTTGATACTAGTTTGTTGGAGTTAATAGCGGAAAACCTCCATTGAAACACAAGATGAGAAAGATGAAAATGAATGAATTGCAGAAAGAGAGAAAAAGAGAAAAATTATAACTAACTTTCTATCTCAAAATGTGAAAATTGAATTCTGTTACAAATGAAACTCACTTTGAATTTATATACACAAAACTAAATTTAAATACAACTCAAATTAACCAAAAAATACAAATGAAAATTAAATGCAACATAAACTAGGTAACTTAAATTTGGATTATATTTCTAGAGATACATCATACATGTGTAAAACAAATGTACACTTATAGTACATATAAGTTAATAAAAAGCACTTTAATTGAAGTTACACAAAAACGTTTGAACGTCAAAAACATTTAAAACGAAAATGCTTCAATCAAAGTTACACAAACATATAAATGCCAACAAGAGATAATGAATAATTCCTCCTTATTCATGTTCCATTATAATGCTCACACATCCTTAACCACGTGCAAGATTAGAGACTCAGTTTTGATGCTTTTCAATCAACTTTTCAAGCTCTTCCTTTTTTGCTCCTATCACCTTGTCAATAATTTTGCCTTTCTTCATCAATATGAATGTTGGCATTGCTTGCACCTGGAATTCTTGAGCAACACCCTGTTTACAACTCAAAGAAATTTTGCACAAATTAGTTCCTAACTACTAAACATGCACTGACACACAACACAAATATTAGACACAACACAAAGTCGATAATAATTTTTTTTTCCATTTCAATATAAAATAAAATATAAACAGAAAACAAGCTGCACCATCACCAAAAAATTAAATATAAAATTAGACATGTTTGAATGACGTTGATGTTAGACATTGATACGTGTTTAACAGCGTACACTTAGTAAAATGAAATAAAAATTTAATACCATTAATTCGTCCACGTCAATTTTGATGAAATCAACTTTAATATATTTTGCAGCAAAATCTTGAAAGATTGGATCCATGTATTTGCAAGGTCCACACCATGTAGCCGTAAATTCAATCACCATCTTAAACCAGAAAAGGAAAAAGAAACTTCCATGAGCAGATGAAGAAAAATGAATATGCAAAATATTGATTATAGCTTAATTGAAGTTATAAAAACATATACCAGCTTGTTAGTTTCTTTGGATGCATCAAAATGAGCCTTCCATTTAGCAGTGGAATGGAAAGTGAGAATGTGAGATGATGATGATTTTGTTGATGATGTACGAGGATACTCCATGCTGGATGAGTTGACTCCCATTTTGCTTATTTCTTTTAGGGAGATAGAGAAAACAAGGTTTCTTTGTAGACTATGATGAGAAGAAGTTACTTTTGTTTTTGTTTGGATGATGAGATTCACTATAGGAGAGTCTTATTTATAGGAGGACTAGCAGAGTAGAGGGGAATCACTTTTTTCATTAAGCATCAGATTCTTTTAAACTAAATGCCAGTATGTCCTTGAATGGACAATTTCAAAAAATTAGGCAGAGTTTGTGATGTGCTCAGAACACAAGAGATTGTGATATGATCACAACACAAGAACAGAAAGTATCTACTTTAATTATCAATTTGCACAGCCTTTTTACTTTATATTTGTAAATTAAGTAGTACTTTTGATTTTAATGTGCAAAAACAAATTATTTGAGTTGTATATGATCATTATAGCGGTTGAGCATGATTTGTATTAAGACAACCAGGAACAATATGTGGAAACTTCAAATGTCACTTAAGTCTGATTTTTTGTTGTGGGTAGATGACTGCGGTATGGTTTAGCGATAATAGCGATAATATTGTAAACTAAATCGTAGTATTATATATTGATTGTTATGTTCTAATCTTAATTAATCACAAAAGATAAAAATAAAGTATAATTCTTTTATAGTTGCATAGATAATCAATAGTGGCTCAACTACGTTAACAAAGATTGATTGTGTTTATTATCTTTTATTTTTATTTTTCTTTAATCTTTTATATCAATTGTTATTTTAACAATTGATATCAGATAACTATTAACCCTAGTGTAAAACTCGAAGGAGGGTTAAGGATCTGTTAACTTAGCAAAGTTTACAGAAGGTGTTGCGTGAGACGAAACTGACCGACAAGGAGGATACTAATTGGACATAAATGAAGGAGAAGGCCGTGATATTGATATTTCAGACGAGGTGATGTATTATATCCTGAACCTATTGATATTCTAGGTACTTTGTGACTTTCACATGTGATTTTTCTTGTTAGGCATGGGTGTATTTCTTGAAGCAGAAATATGCAGTCTTTACCAAATTTAATTTGTGGAAGACAGAGTACAAAATTAAACAAACAAAAAATATCAAGTATTTGCAACAAGATAATGGGATAGAGTACAGTGATTCCAATTTCAAGAGGTATTATAAAGAACACAACATTCAAAAGTATTTCTCAGTTCGTAAAACACCAAAACAAAATGGAGTGTTAGAGAGTTCGTAAAACACCAAAACAAAATGGAGTGTTAGAGAACTGAAAAGGCAAGAAGTCTCGTCTTAACTTATGGATTATCAAAACATTATGGGCATAGGAAGTTAACATGACGTGATATCTTATCAACAGGTCACCACATAATTCATTGAAGGGGAAGGATGCAGAGGAGGTATGGACACATAATCCTATTGATCTTGATAATTTAAGGATTTTTTTAGTGTCCAACTTATATGCATATATCTAGTGAAGCTCAATTGAAACTTGATCCACAATTTAAGAAATATGTCTTTGTCGGTTACACAAAATGTGTGAAGGGATTCAAGTTATGGGATTCAATTAAAAGGAATGTGGTAATCAGTAGAGATGTCTTTTTTATGATAAATTATTGTTGAAACAATCAATTACAATAGATGTGTCAGCACTTGAAGGAGAAACTTCCAGCAAACAAATGATTCGGGTGGATGTCGATCTGCCACCAATGAACATTATGTAGGCAATTCTTGAACCACAAGGGGAACCAGGTTGTGATATTGAAATTCTCCACATATCTAAAGTTTTAGGTGTAGTACAAAATTATTATTATTGTATGTGATAGAGAGCAGCGTTCAATTAAGCCACCGGAAATATATGGGTAAGAAGACTTGACAGTCTATGCACTTCTTATTAGTTATGGAGACTCTTCCAACTTTCGTGAGGATATATCTTGCTAGAAGAAAGATAAGTGAATGGGTGTAATGTTGGAGGAGAAGGAGTTTGATGATAGTCTGTCATCATGGTATTTTATCAATAGTTTTTAGTATTGTTAATAGTATTTAGAGGAGAATTACATGGTTTGAATATAAATTTTGGCAATATTTGAGAAAAAGGTGAAAGTTGTAAAAATAAAAGGAAGGAAACAAACTTTAAAGAAGATTCACAATTTTATTTTTAGCCCATTTTACGCCATGATGTCTCTCTAGTAAGTTGATCATATATAGAGCTTGGTAACTTTGATTGAGGTAGGATCAACACTAAATGAAAGCTAACTTGTGTGCTAAACTATTGAAAGAATATTTGCGTGATGATTTTAGATTTGTGCATTATTTGGACACGTTTTTGCCCATTATAAAAGAAAAAATATGGAGAGGTTTAGAGAATCACATTTGACAGGTATATTGAAGGCTGCACAGATTTTAGGAGAAAGGGTCGAAGACTTTTCGTCATTGAAGATCAACTTTCATCTCCAAATCCATGTATTATTCTTCTAAATTTTTGGATAGGAATAATTGATTATGAGTAGGTAAATTCCTTTTGATTAGGATTTTGAGATGAACTCATTTTAAACTATTTGAACCAAGTAATTATGGAGTAATATTCTATAAAATTGTAATCATGGTATTATTCAGTTAAATTTGTATTCAAAACTTTTTAGGTTGACAAATATATGAATTGATTTTAAGTTAAGAGCGATTATTAACCCTAATATTTGAAACTTAATCTAATTTAACTGTTAAATTAATAAATACTTTAAATATATTGAATTATTCATTTTCATAAACAAATTAATGTGCATGTATACCTCTTTTCATTACGAACTCGTCTAAGACATAAGAGGGTGTAATTAAAAGAAAGGGTTATTCCCTAAGAAATTGGAAATCGGGTATAAATACTTTTTTATTTCATCGTGTTACCAGAGGAACAATGTTAAGGAATAGACACAATTATTAAATAAGAGAAATAAAGGATTCCAAAACAGCCGATAGTTTTAAATTTAGATAACTTTATTCTATTTTATTTTCTCATATGATAACCAAACTCTTATGAAAATCACCTAAATTTTCATCTTTAGGACGTTAGTATTGACATGTTGAAATTGAGTAATATTTGTGAATACGGACTTATAATTTTTATTACTTGACAACAATTTAGTATACTTGTTAAATTATCAATCAAAGTCCTTAAAGTAAATATCAGACATGAGAGTTTGTTCTGATTTCTAGGGGAAGTTCATCGGTTGTAAGTAGGTATTCAAAATAAAATTAGCAGTAATAAAAAAGGGTTGAATATAATGAAATTTTCTCTCTGATTGTCAGACATGCTTCTATAAGAGAAGTGTTTGTCTTAGTAGCCAATCGGGAGATGCATTTAAAGTAGATGGATGTGAAGATGACATTTCTTCACAATAATCTATATCAACAAATTTACATGGAGCAGGAAAAGGGATTCAATGACACTGGACATGGCAGACCAGTTTCTAAATTGAAGAGGTATTTGTAGGGTTTAAAGCAATCTCCAAGAAAATGTTACAATCTTTTTCATTCATACAAAATGTGTGAATATGACTGTTGCATTTATGTTAAGGAGTATTAATGATGGCTCTTTTATTTGAGTGGAGCTAGGTGAAAACATTTTTGTTCCCTACGTGGTATTCGACAAGGTGACCCAATCTCTCCATATTTATTTGTTCTATGCATGGATAAATAATCGCACTGATTAAACATGAGATTACGAGGAAGAACTGAAGCATGTTTCTTATAGAAAAACAAGGACCAACAATATTGCACCTCATGTTTGCAGATGATCTACTTCTTCTCAGAGAAGCTACATAATCCCAGTGGAATTGTATTATGAAGACATTACAACTTTATGTAGAATGTCGGGGCAAGAAGTGAGTTATGAGAAAAACAGTATCCTCTTTTCCTCGAATGTTACTCGAAACATAAAGAATAAGTTGTTTCGAATTTCAGAATTTAAAGAGACTCATAATTTTGGGAAGTATTTGGGAGTTCCCCTCAAGGGAAAGAAGTTTAAAGTAGCAAATTATCATTATATGGTGGAAAAGATATCAAACAAGCTAGCTTCATGGAAAACTAACCATCTTTCTTTTGCAGGTCGAATCATGTTGGCGAAGAGTGTCCTTCAAGCAATCCTGATATATCCAATGATGTCAGATATATTGAATAAACTTTAAATGTTATTAGTAGTGGGTTTATTTATTAAATAAGGTAGTGGAAAGGTTAAAAATCAAATGTAATTTGGAAGGTCAAGAGATATAATAGTATTTACTAATAGCATTTATTTTCCTAGAATAGTAGAAGTTTTTGGGTCTATATAAAGACCAAGATTGGATTTTATTTTTAACAACAAGAAGTAGAAGTTTTCTCCTTATTTAACAGATTGGCATTAGAGTAAATGGCAAACATGATGAATCAAATGTCATTGCCACGGCTAACGAAGTCAAATTACAAAAACTGGAGTATCCAAATTAAAGCTCTTCTTAGATATCTAGACGCGTGGGATATGACCAGAGATGGGTTTGAAGAACCAACAGATATTGGGGGATATACGGCAGCTCAAAATAAGGCGTTGAAAGAGATGTGATAGAAGGATAAAACGACACTATACATGTTATTCAAGGCTGTAGACGAATCAGGATTTGAAAAGATTGCTGGTTCGACTACGTCGAAAGAAGCATGGGACGCGTTAGAAAAAGTGTTCAAAGGAGCAGATCGAGTGAAGTAAGTTCGACTCCAAACTCTTCGTGACGAATTGGAGAGGATACAGATGAAGGAGACAGAAATTGTATCTGACTACATCACACGTGTATAAAAGGTGGTGAACCAACTCACCAGAAATGGAGAAACAATAACTAATGCATGAGTTGTTGAAAAGATCTTGATATCTTTAACAGATAAATTTGAGAATATTGTGTGCGCAATAGAAGAGTCAAAGGACCTTTCGACGCTCTTAGTCGAAGATCTCGCTGGTTCTCTCGAAGCACATGAACAACGAAAGATGAAAAAGAAGGAAGAAGCAGTCGAAGAAGCA